GTGGCTGCACCACCTTGCATTCCCACCAACAGTGTAAGAGGGTTCCCCTTTCTCCGCATCCCCGCCAACATCTGTCCTTTCCTGACTTGTTAATTTTAGCCATTCTGACTGGTGTGAGGTGGTGTCTCATTGAGGTTTTGATTTGGATTTCCCTGATGCCAAGCGATGTTGAGCACTTTTTTCATGTGTCTGTTGGTTCAGGCTGTTTTTGAAACAATAGGTATTAACCTCTTGTGTTCTGTTTGCCTTTTTTTTTTTCCTTTTAATCTAAAGTATGAACTCCTCTTTTGCTATGTTACATACTTAGTAAGCAACCAATGAAACTTAGGTGTTTGAATAAGTGAATACATGAGTTTTCAAAAGAAAAGACCCTTCTGCCCTAGATCGGATGTCTGTTGTTTCTCCAACAAGAGAAAGGACTCTCTGTTTGTGATGCTTCATTTGGGCATCACACAGAATTGCAAATGAGTACATTGTTACTTGACATTTACCCTCTGGGACACGGACCTTAGCTTTCCTTGTCATATCCCTTGACTGCTAACAGTCAGAAGTGGGCCCTGGTCTCATCAACAGTATGGAGAGAGTGTGTGTGTGTGTACATGCGTAAATGTATGTGTGTGTGTAAGCATGAATGTGTGTGTTTGAGTGAATGTGTGTGTATATGTGTGAAGGTATGTGCATGCGTGAATGTGTGTGTGTGTGTGTGCGCACACGCATGCATGCTGGGAATAAAAGAACAAAGACATACCTTCCCTGAAATTCCATATAAAATAAATCCTTAAACCCAAGAAACTACTCTTTATGTACAAGAATCATTAAGAGTAATGGAATATGGATTGGTCCAGGATTTGAGTGTCCAGGTTCTTTCCAGATGTCTGTTTTTACTTATATTGCATGGGCAAGCCACTTACATTCTCTAGTCTGACTTACATTCTCTAGTCTAGTCTCTAGTCTCTAGTCTATGTCCTCATCTCCAAACCGAAAACAAAAGAGTTCCCAGAATTCTATACAGGATTATTACAAGACCTGAAAGAGATAATATATGTGAAGACATTTTCAAACATAAGGGATGTCATTATTAAGTCAAACAGTGTAAACAACAGAATTCAGTGACTCATGACTTAGAACACCCAGTGTTCATCACAAGTGCCCTCCTTATTGCCCATCCTCCATCTAGTCCATCCCCCACCCACCTCCCTCCATCAACCCTCAGTTTTTTCTTTATAGTTATGAGTCTTTTATGGTTTGCTTCCCTCTCTCTTTTTTTCTTTATCTGCCCCCTCTCCCAATGTTCATTTGTTTTGTTTCTTAAATGCCACATATGAGTGAAATACGGTATTTGTTTTTCTCTGACTTATTTCACTTAGCATAATACACTCTAGCTCCAGCCACATTGTTGAGAGGGGCAAGATTTCATTCTTTTTGATGGCTGAGTAATATTCCCTTGTATATACATCCCATCTTCTTTATCCGTTCATCAGTCAATGGACATTTGGGCTCTCTCCATAGTTTGGCTATTGTTGATAATGCTGCTCTAAACATTGGGGAGCAGGTACCCCTTCTTATGTTAACTAACTAGAATTTAAATAAAAAATTGAAAAAAATAAAAGCTTAGCAAAATAAAAAAAGGAAACATTTCCAATTGGTTTCTAGTAAATCATCTTTATCACACTTGTCTTTTTCCTGTATCTTCCTTTTACTTGGAATCTTTCTTAAGCACTGTTACCAAATTCTAGAAAGTGTCTGTCTGTCTTCATGTCTATAATTTTATATTTTTGATCTATTTCTTTTTTAAAGATTATTTTCATTCTTTGTACACAAGCAGATTCATGTGTAATGAATTTACAATAATAAATTTCCTTTTTAAAACAAACAAACAAACAAAAACCAGTGTGAACAACAAACCCAAGATCTGTGAAGCATATAAGGTCAGATGGAAGGTGTTAATCTAGAAATAGCCAAGGACAGGTAGCCCTGTTGCAAGCTGCAAGGTTTTCTTGTCAATCCCAGTATGTCTGTTTCTCTAGGGACCTAGAGAACTGGATCAGTAGCATGGGAGGCATGGTGTCATCAGAGGAGCTGGCTGAGGATTTAATTGGCACGGAGATCCTGCTGGAGCGACACCAGGTATGGCTACCAAATCCACAGCCACTGATCACATGACCCCCAACCTTCCCTCACTTTTTGACATTGTTGAGAAGCCATTGGTGCCACCAGTCTCTTCCTATTTCCAACACAGGAGCATCGTGCTGACCTGGAGGCTGAAGCTCCCACCTTCCAGGCCTTGGAAGACTTTGGTGCAGAACTTATAAGCAGTGGGCACCGTTCCAGTCCTGAAATTGAAGAAAAGCTTGAAGTGGTCAGGCTAAAGAAAGATGACTTGGAGAAAGCATGGAAACAACGCAAGAGGATGCTGGATCAGTGTCTGGAGTTGCAGGTAAAGCACCCTTGAGCCCGTTAAAAAGGATTAGGCTCAGTCTGTTCCTTCTGTGCAAGTTTGCACAGTTCCTGCAGGTGCTCATTTCACTGGGCTTGCCATCCCATAGGCACAAGGGCATTTCTTGGCTCTCTGCCATTGCGCTCTCATCATTGTGGTGTTCTCTGCTCGTATTCCTGTTAGAAGAGCCAAACAAAGTGGGGATCAGCTCTTGGCACGAGATGAGGGTGATTATAATGTATTTATTGATTGAGAGTTTGGTTGATTGATTCCTGTTGAGAACATGCTGGTTGTGGAGCCCTGGAAACACAAAGATGAGTAAGATAACATCTCTTTTCTGAAGTAGTGAAATTAGACATGTAGACAGACCATTCTAGCACAGCAGGTGATTATTAATAAAACAAAATGTATGAAAGTTTTGAGGCTAAGGAAGAGGGAGTGATTAGTGCCAGTGAGGGAAGGGATGAGCGGATCACTGGTGACCCTGAGGGTCGTGGTTATGAGGGTCCTAAAGAAATGACCAGCCAGCATCTGCCAGGTGCAGCATATGGGAAACACACCCTGGGAATGGAGTACAGCTTAAACAAAAACGTAAAATGTGTTTTCAGGGAAGAGTAAAAGCTCCAGAATAGCTAAGATTCATGGTATGAATGTTTCTTGGAGAACATAAGCAACCCTTATGGGATCCCTTATATCAGTGTTGTAGGAAAGGGATGGGTCATTTCCTCTGTCCCCTGGATTGGATATAACCTCTGCCTTCATTCCCCATAGTTGTTCCACGGGAATTGTGATCAGGCTGAGAGCTGGATGCTGGCGCGTGAGAATTTCCTGAGGTCAGAGAGCCACAGTTCCTTAGACACTCTGGTGGCCTTGATGAAGAAACGGGATGATTTGGACAAAGCAATCACTGCCCAGGTAATAACAACTAATATAAGAGTTCCAATAATAAATATTAGTAATAATAACAGAGATTCTATACATGTATATAGTTCTGTGATTTACAAGTATTTTAAATCCCATTTGCTTTTTACAGAAAACTGAGTTAGACAGGGCAGTTGACACGGTGGCTTACTCTTACTCAAGTCACTCACGGCATTGGACCGACTTACTGCAAGCCCAGCCTTTTACAACCTACCTTTTAGAATTGGAAGTGACTTTATATACTGCTTATGCCAACATCCCACCCAATGCAGGAGTCACCCTCTGCCATGGCCATGGGAGGAGTCTGTTCTTTAGGGAGATCAGTACCACAGGAGTCCATACCACAGGAGCTCAGTACCACTGGAGTCAGTACCACAGGAGCTCAGTA